GCAATAGAAATTAGGAAGTATGTTTGAGTTAGTAGGAAGTCAAACATAAAACATTTTAAAAATCATATTTAGATTATTCAGCAAAAAAGTTTCCATAATTTTCCGAGCTCTGTGTAAGGATTTTAAAATTTCTCAGTTTTACTAAGAGTGGTCATAAAGATTTTAATTTCTGTATCATAAAAATATGTTTAAATGATTTATGATTATATACACTGGAAAAATGACAATGACAGATGTCGCAGAAAGTGGTCCTCCACCCCACCCCCCCCCTTCTATTGAGAGGGGCGAGTCCCTCCTTGCCATTCGCAATTCGGCAATGATACGCTTTAGGTGAAATCTGTGACTTCACATTAGCCTACACATTACCAGAAGGGAATATACACCACTGTTTCCCAAGAGGAGAAATACATAAAAATTAAGTTTTCAATTACTTATCTTGGTCTAAGACTTTGAATACTTGAATTAATTAAAAATTATATATACAATACAGACTGGAATTTATTTTATTCCATATCAAATAGTACATCAGTCTAACTGCACAAATGCACCCTTAAATGTAATGAAATGGATCCTTAATTAAATTACTGTGCAGTGTAAATACGATCCTTAGTATTTCTTATCAATAATAATTTTCTCCTTCACAATGTTCTTATTAAATAATTTATCGACCTACTAATTTCGCGATTCAACGATAGGACCATATAATATTCTATATATTCTTTTGTTTAATGAGGAAAATAAGATTTTATAAACATTTTTCAAGACATTACTCAAAATTCATTTCTATTTTGCTTTGATACATAAAACATATTTTCTTGCATTATTATTTAAGCAAATGACCCATTTGTTATAAATATATTCGGTAATTTCTTGATAGTGAAAACTTAATAAAGGGGAGTAATCAAATATTGAATCCGCCTTTTGATTGGTTAGTTTGGATCTTGAATCTCGAAACTCGAATTTCGAATCTCGAAACTTGAATCTCGTATTTCGAAACTCGAATCTCGAATGAGCCTTCTGGGCTTTCGTAGATATGTGATGAGAAATTTCAGCTCTTTGTTTAGGCATGCCATATGGTTGGATTTATTTTTAGCTCACCTCAACGAAGTTTATGTAATACCTTCGGCATCGGCCTCGCGTCCCAGGTTAATGTTTTTGGAGCAGTTTTCTTTTCAAGTACTTCTATGGCCTATATTAGTCAGAGATGCATGGAGGATGCGTCTAGTGTGTTTCATTGTACCAGTCAAGGATTCAGATGCTGCAATTTCAGCTAAAGAATGACCAAGTTAATGTTTTTGGAGCAGGTTAAAGTTTTTGGAGCAGGTTAAACTTTTTGGAGCAGGTCTCATTTCCAAGTAACTAAAAGCCCTATATTGACCAAACTTGCATGGATGATACATCTAAGGATGTACACTACTGGACTTGCTTCAGATGCTGGATCTGACCTATATTTTCCGGATGAGTGACCAGGTTAAGGTTTTTGGAGCAGATGTCATTTCCAAGTAACTAAAAGCCCTATATTGACCAAACTTGCATGGATGATACATTTAAGGATGCACACTACTGGACTTGCTTCGGATGCTGAATCTGACCTATATTTTCCAGATGAGTGACCAGGTTAAAGTTTTTGGAGCAGATGTCATTTCCAAGTATCTATAAACCCTGTATTGACCAAACTTGCATGGATGATACATCTAAGGATGCACACTACTGGACTTGCTTCGGATGCTGGATCTGACCTATATTTTCCGGATGAGTAAACAGATTAAAGTTTTTGGAGCAGATCTCATTTCCAAGTAACTATAAGGCCTATCTGAACCAAACTTGCATGGATGATGCATCAAGGGACAAACAATCTCAAAACTTGCTTCAGATGCTGGATTTGACTTACATTTTCTGGATGAGTGACTAGTTTTAAGTTTTCAGATAAGTCTATTCCAAAGTAACTGCAAGTCCTATCAGACCAAAATTGCATAAATGTTGCATCTAGGGATCGCACTCCTAGATTATTAGTATAGTGTGGGACTTTGCCTTATTTAAAGACAACATTCGTTGAGGTGAGCTCTGTAATCTCTGATTACCTATGTTTCATGCCATTTGGTTGGGTTCATTTTTGTACGAATTTAATGTCAACTTCCTGTTTATCCCTGCATCTGTCTGTACCAAATTTCTATCACAGTTTTCTCAACAACTACTCATGGCAGATGCTTGAAATTTTAGCACACTCTTTGTTTAGGCATGCCATATTCCTTTATTTTATTAAACTGAACTTGTGTAGATTCACATGAGGGTGTATATTCACATCAGAGCAGGGGTATTACAGTCCCTGAAACGTTCTACTTTCCATTTTTCCGTTCGCTCACCGTTCGTTCAGCGTGCGTTCACCGTTCGTTCACCGTGCGTTCACTGTTCGCTCTCCGTTCACAGTTTTGCGTTCAGCGTTCACCGTGCGCTCGCGTTCACCGTTCACGAAGCGTTCACCGTTCGCTCTTCGTTCGTTCACTTTGTGTTCACCTTGCGTTCAGCGTTCACTTATCGTTCAGTCTCCAGTGTCATTCGGAACTCCGAAGTGAAAGGACTTATCTTTTTTATGTAAGGATTTACAGGTTTTGAATTTAATAAATAACATACCGTGTTTAAAGAATCATTATTTCATGGGGAAAAAAATTATCTACAATATTTATTTTTATTATTCTAATTTAGTTGTTAGGTTATTTATAAAATTTATCTGGAAAATAAGTCTCGTTATAAGTGCATGTATGTACCTATGTAGAACGATGCTGAAAAATTAAATTTAAATACGGGCAAAATAGTGATACTTCAAGCACTGCAACATTTTGTTGTTATGTTAAAGACGACAAATCGTTAATGGATAGATAATAATGGAAGTCAATTAATTTACCAACTGTAGCAAAAATACGAAAATATTTATTTCTATCACATTTTTTTTTCAAATAATACAGAAATACATGTTAGAACTTGTTCTGAGAATGATAAACAGTACTGCGAATATCCAATTAATTAAATATCTTTAGAGCGAATTAAATTGATAGTGTGGTTAAAAAAAAAATATTTGTTTAAAATGTTATACATTAAAGAATTTTTTTCTACTTTACATATATAAAGTCTTTAATTAGTGAGAGAGAAATGCCTTTATAACATGATTATCATTTATATAACCAAGGTGATTCTCCAGTAATGATATTTTTCACCGTAACTTTATATGTTTGTCATTCAATATTATTAAGAGCCCCCCCCCCCCCCCCCCCCTCCTTTCCCCTAAATCGATTACTTAGTTAGTATTTCCAGTATATTTTAATTAACATTTAAAAAGAAGTTAATGCGTTTTGTAGCACAAAAAATTCAGTCTCAAAACAAACAGGCATCTAAACAGAGTCATTAAACAATAGTAGTTCAAAATATACATGTGCCGGCGGTGATATTTTAAATTGGCAGGGAGTATGTTTCAAATTCAAGAGGCTTAATTATTCCAAGTATTTATTCCTAATGTATTTTATTCATTTATTTATCTATTTTTTAGAAATGTTGGAATCAGATCTAGAAATAATAAGAAAAATGTTCAGTAAAACTTCTTGGAAATACTAACACTTTGCCTTCGGTGTGACGAGATTTTCACACCTGCACAGTGTCGAATGATTTTGATTGACAGGTCAAGCACGTGGACTTCGTGTGAACTTGAAGCAGGAAAATATAAACCGATTATGACTGTAAAACAAATGGATTTGTTGATAAAAAATGGTTACTTTCACTGCCTGATATATTTAGAAAAAATTTAGAATTTTTGTTTGATATAGGTACAAACATTTGAGGAAGGGGGGGGCTAAAACCGAATCTCTCTCTCTCTCTCTCATTTGTCTATTTAATAAAAACAATGACAGCATATTACTTAAATATCAAGTTGTGAAAATTTAATATATAACAAATAATATGACTGCCTCTTTGTATCATCTTCTCCGAGTATAATCACGGCCGGGAAATGTCTACAGATAGATGTAGAAGTCTGCTCAATAAATCATCATAAAAAATAAAACTGACACATAAATATATTATTGCATTAAAATTTTAAACTACGAGTGTATTTATGCAATACGTCCACATACCTTTGTAAAATATTTTTTTCTCATTATTTTACACGGAATCGCCTTGTATGGTTGTTACAACCGTTGTAATTCATTCTGTAAGTCCGTAGTTTTCTCTTCTAAAATCCACATTATTTGTAATGGTTTTATATATCAAATAAGAATAAACATATTTGTTTTACAACTAGATTAATTTCATCTGTTATACTACAGCGTTCGGTAACAATTACAATGTTTTACAGCGATAAAAATCGTATTATCAAAAAGTTGAATTTAAACATCATACATATGTGCAGAAAATATTGTAAGAAACTTAAATTAATAATTTTACTTAATGTGCATTTATCATCTTTCTTAGGACAATTTTCATTGATTTGTTTATTTATTTATTTTTTATTTATTTTTTTAGCACCAGGCATTCGAATACAATAGAATAGTTACAATGCAAGGAAAAGATCAGAGGCATTCCGAATAAATCGTTCATCTTGCGTTCACCGTTCGTTCACCGTTCACTTTGCGCTCGCGTTTGCGCTCCGTTCGCGTTCTGCGTTCGCTCACCGTTCAGCGTTCACACATCGTTCACCAAGTTGCGTTCAGCGTTCACACTTCGTTCACTCACCGTTCGCTCTGCGTTCGTTCAGGGTTCGTTCACCGTTCGTTCAGCGTTCGCTCACCGTTCAAGTGGGAAAGTAGAACGTTTCAGGGACTGTACTAGTGAACAATGGCTCACAGATGTTTTGTTTTATTTCCACCCAGTTATATTTTTTACATATTGTACTTTCAAATTTTGAAATGTCATGTGGTATTTATGCCATACTAACCCATCTAATTTACAGCATTTTATATTTTATCCTATGTAGGGTGATCTAATTTACAGCATTTTACTTTTATCATATGTAGGGTGTTGTGCAGCCCTTACCAGCTTGCTCAGATGAGAAGGATCAAATAGGTAAAGTATAAAATGGAGGTTCCTGGCTCCAGGGCCATAAAACTTAGACGAGCTCACTTTTGATCTAAGTCTCACTTTTACAAAAGGAATATATAGTGGAAAAGTGAGACTGAGATCAAAAGTTAGCTCATCTAAGTTTTATGGCCCCGGAGCCTGTAGTATTGTTTGGGTGTGTTGCTCTAGAACAATCATTGCCTGGCTTCAAATTTTCTAGCCTTTTTTAAAATTTTCTGTCAAAATTTTATTAGAAGAAAACTAACAACTGGATAATATGCTTTAGATTGCTCAGAAATGACTGTGTTAATTGCTGCTGGACCTTTCTCCACTTCGGACAACTTGGCATTTGAGCCACTGGCAGATCTAGTAAAATTGATGTGGAGAGATACACCAGATGTTGTCATATTGGTAAGTATCGTCATATACCCTAAATTCGTCCATACCCTAAAATCGTCCTCAAACTTGAGGCAGCCCGCATGTTTCGAACTATGTATCGATGACGTCACTTTTAATTGTTATGACTGGTAAACACAATGATGCAAATGTGTTGGCAATTATTTTTTAGAATATGCAGTTTAAACTCGTAGTAAAATTAAAGAAAAATAAAAATCCTTAAACTATCTGTTTTTCCTTAGGTCCATTTTTTATTGAAAGTGTTCACGGCAGTTACGTTCCCAAAAATCACTTCCAGATCAAATTTACCTTCATTTTATTATTTTATACCTGTCAATGTATTGAATTACGTGCATGGGCTTTTAATTTAAGAATTTGAAAACAAAAATTTAATGCTCCCAAATCAAAAGGATCTTATATACTTTCCACCTAGAAATTGACGTTACCCGTGTTTGGTTGCCGTACTATGCGGTATTACAAATTATTTCAGAAAAAAAATCTAAGTCATCACTGCAAATGATAGAGTCTCCAAAAATCAAAGATTTTATCAGTAACTTTGACTAATAACTGTGAATGCTTTCAACAATAGAATTTCTGTTGGTCTTACAAATTAAAACATTTTATATCATGCTGGTGTTTTTCTTTTTTCTTTCTTTCATTTTTGTGTATGTGTGTGTTTTTGTGTGTGTGTGTGTGTGGGGGGGGGGGGGGGGGGTTTGTTTGTTTTTGTTTTTTATAAGTTGTATATAATCGAGATTTTTTTTCTCCAGGAATATGTTATTAAAATGACAAATAAATAAAATCAATATTTATCGTACGTAAGAATTTATCATAACCCCCCCCCCCCCCCCACCCCACCCTTAAAAAAATCAATCTATCAACATACCAAAGCAATGATGATCACATTGTTTAAATAGATTTACTTTTTGACCTAGCTCACTTGCTCAGTCACCAGTCCTGATTAATACCTCCCCCCCCCCCCCCCCCCCTCGAGTAATTAAGAAGAGAAAATTTCATTTTTATATACCAAAAATTTATTTTATCAAACAGTAGTTTTATTTAGTCGACCAAAGAAGGTGTATTTTTGTCACAATTTTTACCAGTTTCACAGGTGCCATGTGCATTGAAGCATAACTAATCCAGCGATTGTCTACTGGGGTATGAAATTCATGACATATTGATAATCTAGTAAAACAAGATCTCTTTACTGCCACTCTTTAATTAATTTCTCATCTACTACACAGTAGTTAAAAAGTTTTTTTTTCCTGTAACGTGAACATTTTACATATTATAATTAGGTGATCAATTTCAAGTCTACATCGTAACCCCAACCATCAAATTAAAGTTTTCTGATTTTTCCAGATTGTGTCGGTCAGACTTGCACTGTTCGAATATATTGATTTTCTATCGGTTTTTGCCAGTAAGGCCAATGAATTTGGGAAAATCTGAAATATACATGTAACATTGTATAATTCGCATATCAGGTAATTTGATGAGCATGTATTGTAATGACATCGTTGACAATGTAAATCTGAAAGCACATTCTTGTTTCTTAAAAAGAAAACGGAGTCGATAATAGCTAAAGCAATTGAATGTTCTTAAATTGATAAGAATATTTTTAAAAAAAAAAAAACCTTTTGCACAGAAGAACTTTATTTACAATTTTTAATTTAATGATTTTCCACCTTTTTTTATCACAAAGCACGAAAAACAAATGGACCAATCGCTTGTGTCCGTTTTTATATCTGAAGGACGAATATAGGGTATGAGTGACATTTTTAAGTGTATAAGTTTGATTTTGTAGAAGAGCTCTAAAAATCTTGTCAAGAGTGATTTGAAAAAATGAATTTTAACATTTAATCAGGATTTCCGTTCTATAGCTCGCGCTGAAGTTTATGTATCAATTTGCACGCGCTCGCCGTTATTATGACATTGAATGTCGTAAGGGGACGATTTATTGGTATTCTAGGATACAAAAGACAACTTGTTAATTGTGACAATATTATACATACAGAAAAATTTGGCTATAAAGCACTTTTTTACAAGGATATCACATTTGTAAGGAACTTTTTATGAATCCTGCAGAAGACTTTTCACAGTGTTTCTTTTATGAATATAAAGAATCTTGGCTATAAAAAAAGCAGAATTTGAGATCTCCCTGACTTCCTTATAACTGAGTTTTACAGTTTTTCTGCATTTTCCAGGTTACCTGAGTCACTCAGGTGACTTATTGCTATCAGTTTTTGTCTGTCATCATGCGTTAACCTTTGAACATTTCAACTTCTCTGCAACTGCTAAACCAATTTTAACCAATCTTGGCATAAAGCATCTATGGGTGAAGAGGAACAAAAATTATGAATTTCATAGTCCCTGCCCAAGAATAATATTAATTTTAACAAGTAGTCAGATAATCTCATTCTATCATTGCTGCAAAAGTTCTTATTGTAAACTTAAAAGAAAAGGATGAGAGAGCAGTACAATTAATCCCCTTGGATGGATTAATTATCTTGCTTGCTGCAGAAAAATTAGAGGCTTATCTTTATCTGTCACTTTAAAATTAACACCTTTGTCTGCAACTGATATTTGTTCAAGCCTGGGTGATATTTGTATTGACTGAAGCCTGGCATTTTATAAAACACATGCTTCATTCTTGTTTAAATATACATTTAATTGAGTTATTATAAGTTAGATTTGATGTTGTTTACTGCCTTATGTAAATACAAGAATACAAGAATAACAAAGTGTCAAACGCTTTGGTGACAGGAACACATTAAATTAGCTCAGTCGAAAGGAACCAATCTACATAGAAAAGCTACGGTAAACTGACGATCAAGAATTTTTTTCTCTGTTCTGCTAGTCCGACGGACTATCGTTACATTTAGATTAGCTAGACAGAGTCTTAAAATGACTAGCCCCGGGCGTTGGGCTACCGTATATTTCAGCCCTTGCTGACAGGTTAGTTTTCAGTTAAAATTATCACAGAAAAAATTCTACGTCACGAGGGACAAGCCAATTATGATGTCTTTTAATTGCTTAAAGTGGGGCCCTTTAATATGATTACCATCTCAACAATGTCTACTTATAATGGTAAAAGTTCTGAGTTGGAGATACAAAACTTTCATTTTTCTCAAATGAAAGAGAATTTGAATAATAATACATATACTATTAATTATCAAAATTATTTGATTTCAAATCTTGTTATCAAACTATGATTTTTCTCTAATAAAGCAGAATTTAAATAATAGTTCATGCACTATGAATTATCAAAATTTTGATTCCATATCTTGTTAAGTGTTTAGGCTGATAAATGATTGTCAATTGCATTTTTAATTAACTTGATATGTGTTTGTTATTAGCTATTGGATGTTTAATTGTTTATTTAACTTACTAATGTCTTTTTTTCAGATGGGTCCTTTTGTTGATGTTAAAAATGATCTGATAGAGGTAAATATTTTATCAATACAAATTTATTTGATATGAATTTTGACATAAAAATAATATGCAAAGTTAAATTTTACTTTGATTCCGAGGCCTTATGATTTCATAGAACATGTATATGTGTAAATATATCATGAAAAATTCCTTTACTGATAGGCTCTTTACATCAATAGTTGGAGCAGTTCTCTAACTATTTCATTTTTTTTTTGACATGCATGGTCACTAATTTTGATGAAACTTTGCTCATTATTATAGCGTAATACCAGAAACAGATATCAATCTAAATTTGGTTGCTAAGTGTCATGGGTGCTATGGTAACAAACAAAAATTCAAAAGCTAAGATTTTCAGCTTTGTTTGAATCGTTATCAAACTGTAACATGGTAAAACTTCTTACAAATACACAATTTGTAGCTTATATCTGATTAGTACTGCAATTTGAATTTCTTGGCTATATTTAAATAGTTTGGATGCTAATTGGCTAAGAATCATCAAATTTTGTCATTTGATGCATCTTGGGTATTCAGAGTATGTTAACTTAGAAGTAGGTCATGATGACCTACTTTCAGAATTTCAAGGCTATATCTAAATATTTCAAATAATAAGAGGCTTAGAATCATCAAACTTTGTCAGTTGATACATCTTTATTCTCTAAGTATGTTAACCAAAAAGTAAGTCATAGTACTGATTTTGGAATTTCACAGCTATATCTAGATATTTCAGATAATAAAGGCATAGAATCAGTCAGTTGATGCATGTTGGGTCCTTGGAGTATTTGAAAGAAAAAAATAGTCATGGTGACCTTTGGAATTTCAAGGCTTTATTTAAATATGTAGGATACTAAGAGGCTTAGGATAGAAGTAATAGGATTGTACAATTTATCAGAGGAGCTATTCTAGGCCCTTAGGCCTCTTGTATTTTTATGCCCCCGGATCAAAAGATTCCAGGGATATATTGTTTTTGTCCTGTCTGTCTGTTTGTTGTCAACTTTAACCTTGCCCATAACTTTTGATTGGTTGGACCTATGACTTTCATATTTCACATGTGTATTTCTTGTGACAAGACCTTTCTTTGGGTACCATCATATTTGACCTTTTGACCATGACCTTGGAGTTTGACCCACTTTTGCAAAATTTTATGAGACTTTAACCTTGGCCATAACTTCTGAACAGTTAGTGTTTGGGGTTTAAAACTTCACATGTGTATTCTTTGTGAAAAAGCCTTCTTCTAGATACCAACAACTTTGACCTTTTGACCTTGACCTTGGAGTTCGACCTACTTTTGAAAAACTTTAAGCTTGGCCATAACTTTTGAACAGTTGGTGCTTGGGGTTTAAAACTTCACATGTGTATTCCTTGTGACAAGATCTTCCTCTGGATATCAACCTCTTTGACCCTTTGACCTTGACCTAGGAGTTTGACCTACCTTTGAAAAACTTTAACCTTGGCCATAACTTTTGAATGGTTAGAGCTAGGGCTTTCATACTTCGCATATATAATCCTTGTGACATCACCTTCCTTCGTATACCAACCACTTTGACCCTTTGACCTTGACATAGGAGTTTGACGTACTTTCGAAAAACTTTAACCTTGGCCATAATTTTTTGAATGGTTGGTGCTAGAGCTTTCATACTTCACATATGTAATCCTTGTGACAAGACCTTCCTTTGGTTACCAACATCTTTGACCCTTTGACCTTGACATAGGAGTTTGACCTACTTTTGAAATACTTTAACCTTGGCCATAACTTTTGAATGGTTGGTGCTAGGGCTTTCATTTCTTACATATGTAATCCTTGTGACAAGACCTTCCTTTGGATACCAACAACTTTGACCTTGACCTTGATGTTTTACTTTACTTTTAAAAAAACTTTAACCTTCACCATAACTTTTGAACAGTTGCAGCTAGGGCTTTTAAATTTAACATTTCTTATCTTTTGGCCTGGATTTTGACTTGCATTTGAGAAATTTTAACCTTCGCCATAAGCTGCCATTTGAGGGGCATCAGTGTTTCACAAACACATCTTGTTTGAATGTATGCATTATCAAGATCAGTGAATAGATTTAATGCTTGTCAAAACTTTGTTTCCATGGTAATGTATGAAATATTTGTTTTTCCAAAGATTTTTTTCCCATCCGAATAAGAGATATATTCTCTGACTTTTGTCACTTTTCTAAATTGCTGCAAAAGTTAGAAATAGGTCTCGCAACATGTTGAAAAAAAGTTAATTTCAAAACTTTATAGCAAGATATCATGGTTAACATGATGCAGCAATTAATTTTTGCCTGATATTAGTTTAAGGTGACAAAAAAATTTTTATAGCAAGTTTAAGAAATTCTGTGATTATGTATGCCAAGGCTCCTACATAAATTTTTAGTAAACATTAAACTGCTCTTTAATTTTAAGAACTAATATCATTTTTAACATAGAAATCTGTTTGCTTCAGAGTGGGACATGCACCAATTCTTTTGAGGAGATCTTTAAGGCAAAACTGGCCGAAATTAGCAGTGAGGCATCAAGGTACATTTCTGGAGGTTTTTGAAAGAGAAAACATCTCAGTACAGGGGTGTGCAATTAGCATCGTCTGACACCCGGGGCTACCATATTTTGGGGGTCTGGCTAGTGTTTTTAGCTCACCTGAGCTATTCTGATCACCCATTGTCCGTCGTCCGTCCGTCTGTCCGTCCGTCCGTCTGTAAACTTTTCACATTTTCAACTTCTTCTCAAGAACCACTGGGCCAATTTTAACCAAACTTGGTACAAAGCATTCTTGGGTAAAGGGGAGTTTAAATTGTTAAAATGAAGGACCAAGCCCCCTTCAAAGGGGAGATAATCAAGAAAAGACAAAAATTGGGTGGGGTAATTAAAAAATCTTCTTCTCAAGAACCACTGGGCCAGAAAGGCTGAAACTTATGTGGAAGCATCCTGGGGAAGTGTAGATTCTAAATTGTTCAAATCATGACCCCCGGGGGTAGGGCGGGGCCACAATAGGGAATCCAAGTTTTACATTGAAATATGTAGAAAAAATCTTTAAAAATCTTCTTCTAATGAACCACTGGGCCAGAAAAGCTGAAACTTATGTAGAAACATTCTGGGGTAGTGTAGATTCTAAATTGTTCAAATCATGACCCCCGGGGGTAGGGCAGGGCCACAATAGGGAATCCAAGTTTTACATTGAAATATGTAGAAAAAATCTTTAAAAATCTTCTTCTCAAGAACCACTGGGCTAGAAAAGCTGAAACTTATGTGGAAGCATCCTGGGGAAGTGTAGATTCTAAATTGTTCAAATCATGACCCCCGGGGGTAGGGCGGGGCCACAATAGGGAATCCAAGTTTTACATTGAAATATGTAGAAAAAATCTTCTTCTCAAGAACCACTGGGCCAGAAAAGCTGAAACTTACGTAGAAACATCCTGGGGTAGTGTAGATTCTAAATTGTTCAAATCATGACCCCCGGGGGTAGGGCAGGGCCACAATAGGGAATCCAAGTTTTACATTGAAATATGTAGAAAAAATCTTTAAAAATCTTCTTCTCAAGAACCACTGGGCCAGAAAAGCTGAAACTTATGTGGAAGCATCCTGGGGTAGTGTAGATTCTAAATTTTTCAAATCATGACCCCCGGGGGTAGGGCAGGGCCACAATAGGGAATCCAAGTTTTACGTTGAAATATGTAGAAAAAATCTTTAAAAATCCTCTTCTCAAGAACCACTGGGCTAGAAAAGCTGAAACTTATGTGGAAGCATCCTGGGGAAGTGTAGATTCTAAATTGTTCAAATCATGACCCTGGGGGTAGGGCGGGGCCACAATAGGGAATCCAAGTTTTACATTGAAATATGTAGAAAAAATCTTTAAAAATCTTCTTCTCAAGAACCACTGGGCTAGAAAAGCTGAAACTTATGTGGAAGCATCCTGGGGTAGTGTAGATTCTAAATTGTTCAAATCATGACCCCCTGGGGTAGGGCAGGGCCACAATAGGGAATCCAAGTTTTACATTGAAATATGTAGAAAAAATCTTTAAAAATCTTCTTCTCAAGAACCACTGGGCTAGAAAAGCTGAAACTTATGTGGAAGCATCCTGGGGAAGTGTAGATTCTAAAGTGTTCAGATCATGACCCTGGGGGTAGGGCGGGGCCACAATAGGGAATCCAAGTTTTACATTGAAATATGTACAAGTAGTAAAAATCTTCTCAAGAACCACTGGGCTAGAAAAGCTGAAACTTATTTGGAAGCATTCTTGGGTAATGTAGATTCTAAATGTTCAAATCATGGCCCCTGGGGGTAGGGCGGGGCCACAATTAGTACTACAAGGGGGGGGGGGGGAGGAATCAGTTGAAAAACAACAAGGCTAAAATTACTCAGGTGAGCGTTGTGGCCCATGGGCCTCTTGTTTTTTTTTTGCATGGAGGTAGCCATTTGGGCTGGTAAAAATTGAAACTACCCATGTAATACATGAAAAGCTCAACCGGTATTTTTAGCTCTTCTGAGCCAAAGGCTCAAAGAGCTAATGCTATGGCCATTTGTGCTGTGTGCGTAAACTTTTTAGAATATGGGCCATAACTCAAGAACCCCTTGGCCAATTATTGTCAAATTTGTTACAGGATATCCTTGGCCCAAGGGCTCCTTTATATACTTTTATATACTAAAACTAGGGTTGTGACCCTTAAACAAGGGGAGATAATAAGGAAAAGAGAAACAAAAGTACTGGTTGCTAAAAAATCTTCTTCTTAAGAACCACTGGGCAGATTATCACCAAACTTACAAAAAAGGATGAGGATATGTTTTAGATTAATAATTGTTCAAGGCATCACCCTGGGGAAAAGGTCATGGTCTCAAGGTCACTTCAAAGTTGACCAAAAAATACATTTTATTAAAAGGTTGACATTTTGCTTACTATAAGGACTAGGATCATCAAATCTTGTCAGTTGATGCATCTGAGGACCTCATATCATGTTGACTCAAAAGTAGGTCACGGTGACCTACTTTTTAAATTTTGCGCCCATTCTTTATCAAAATGATTTAGAGGCATATTTTGAACAATTTAAGGCCTATGATCATCAAACTTTGTCAGTTGATGTATCTTGGGTCATCAAAGTACGTCAACTAAAAAGTAGTTCACCTTGACCTACTTTTTGAATTTTATGGCTAATCTTTTACAAAACAATTAAGGTCAATAATTTGATTACTGAGAGGTTAAGAATCATGAAATCTTGCAAGATGATGCATCTTGGGGCCATAAAACATATGTATTAAAAAGTAGGTCACAGTGACCTACTTTTTGAACTTTGCAGGCATTCGATTTCAAAGCGTTTTAGAGGCATAATTTGGACATTTTAAGGCCTATGATCATAAAATTTTGTAAGTTGATGCATCTTGGGTCATCGCAGTAGGTCGACTGAAAAGTAGGTCACCGTGACCTACTTTTCAATTTATATGACTATAATTAAATATTTTGGGTACTAATTGGCTTCGAATCATCAAACTTTGTCAGTTGATGCATCTTGGGTCTTCAGAGTAAGTCGACTGAAAAGTAGGTCACCCTGACCTACTTTTGATAATTTTATGGCTGTACTTAATATTTTCGGGTACTAGTTGGCTAAGAATCATCAAAATTTGTCAGTTGATGCATCTTGGGTCCTCACAGTAGGTTGACTGAAAAGTAGGTCACCATGACCTACTTTTCAATTTATATGACTATAATTAAATATTTCAGGTACTAATTGGCTTAGAATCATCAAAATTTGTCAGTTGATGCATCTTGGGTCTTCGGAGTAAGTCGACTGAAAAGTAGGTCACCATGACCTTCTTTTGAAAATTTATGGCTTTAATTAAATATTTCAGGAACTAATTGGCTTAGAATCATCAAACTTTGTCAGTTGATGCATCTTGGGTCCTTTGGGGTACAACTGAAAAGTAGGTCACCCTGACCTACTTTTGAAATTTTATGGCTGTATTTAATTTTTTTGGGTACTATTTGGATTAGAATCATCAAATAGAAGTGATAGGTTGTACAGTTTATCAGAAGAGCGATTCAAGGCCCTTGGGCCTCTTGTCACTCACGTTTTCTATTAAATTCCCAACCAATGAAAAATTTCAGGCAGCATGCTCCTATTGTTTGTAAATCTCTATTATCTTATCCATTTTGCAATACTACCTGACTTATTTACTTCCACAAATGATCGTTGTTTTTCTTTTTCGTAATCCGAATTTCCTCCATTCCTCTGTTTATGGTAAATGCATGCAGAAATCTCATTAAATTATTTACAATCACTCAATCAACTGAAAGATGTGTTGAAGGATGACCTTAAGACCCTGACTTTTTCAAAAATAAACTGTTCTTTTTTTCAATAAGAGATGTTACTTTTTCTACCTATCTATTTGGGCTAGTGATTTTATTGTTGCCACTAGCCCATGGGCTAGTGTGAATTTTTTAATTGCACATCCCTGCAGTATTAAATACCCTTCATCTTCTCTTATGTAGTTTAATAAGTGTAATTTATAATTATTTGCCTAAGCAAAGAAACATTGTATTTGTACATGTATATAATGTTTTATATTTTCCTTAGTGCTGGATGCCAGGTGATTGTCCTGCCCTCCTATCGTGATGTCCACCATGACTATGTGTATCCCCAGCCCCCCTTCTTCCATCACAATTCTCGCTCAGAGACATTAAAAGAATTTCCGGTAATTGTTTGTAGTCCTCTCACATACATTAATTTATTTTTAACATTAAAAATGCTGAATTATATTTTCTACAGAGAGTCCAGGTGTATTGGTATCCTGTTCTGTTCATCTGTCCTTCTGTCACACTTTCTTCTTTCTCAAACTCCTCTTACATTTTAAGCAGTGGCCCATTCATATTTTGGAATGTGATTGGTGGTGTCCTGAACATGTGCAAAAAGATTTCAAAAATTGTCATTTTTCAGCAAAAACCTGGTTCCCAGGACTCCACTTTTATGTATTGTTGGGTATTTTTTGTATGGAAGTTTTTTAGGGGTCTTCTCATATTTTACCTGTAGTGTGCATGATTAATTGAGTAACATAATAAATATAATTTGCTTGGGGGGGGGGGGGGGCAAGCCCTGGGATTGTGTATAGGGGAGTGGAAAAAGGGGGGGGTCCTGTCCACAGTTGCTGTGTCCATTGTTTGGGTATATGTACACCACCTTGTGTGCGTCTAGGCATAAGTTTGATTAGTTCACATTGTGCCAAATTATGTGCCATCTTGTTAACCATAGTTGGCCTGCTAAATGATTTCATTCAAGAAATTTATAACTGTTTGGTCACAACTGCTTTGTATAGCAGTTTGTATGCAAAACTTTAAGAACTTTGATTGCAAATCTCAGATTTTAAAGAGCTTGTCTCAGAGAAAACCAGACAAAATCAAAATATTCCACAAGGGGGTCTAAACTTTTCATAAATAATTTTATTTTCTAAATATTGGGTGCATCCAAAGTGAGAAAACAAACTTTTTAAAAATCTGGACCTGTTCTATTTATAGTTACATGTGCTTGTGCAATATTACTCAAATGTGCTTGGAAAGTAGCTGAAAAATACAGTTATACCCATAACTTACATGAAAATTATTGACAAACAAGTTGATGAAACAAGAATATCAACAGTCTTGTTTAAAGTCATCATTTCATAAGTTTTATGGTCGAAACAATGACCTTATCAGCAAATACAATCTATCATTAAGTCATATGCTGACTGACGTTTTTCATATTAATTGTTAGGCCATTATTTACACACTGAATTGTCGACAGATTTTTCCGTTATTTGCCCATCATGACAAGGAGCACACAGCTGGTGTGACAGGTCCGCAGGGGATGCTCACTCCTCCATGGTACCTGATCCCACCTCTGATGTTTTTGGAGGTCCATGTTTGCTCTGCTCCCGATTTGTATTGTTTTAATGGACTTTGAGCTTGAATACTGTTTGTATCTCATTATTTCATAAATCAAATCTACATACTTAAAATTTAACTGGTCATCAATTTCTAGTTTACTTATGAAAAATAAATTTATAAAAACAGCATAAAAAAGTTAATTTGAATCATTTTCTTGAAAATGGTATATGTTTATAGGGCCTCCTAAATTTTGCACATAAAAGATATATGACTTTTTAGCTCACATGAGCTGAAAGCTCAAATGAGCTTTTCTGATCATCCGTTGTCCATTCGTCTGTCTGTCTGTCCGTCTGTAAACTTTTCACATTTTCAACTTCTTCTCAAGAACCACTGGGCCAATTTCAACCAAAGTTGGTACAAAGCATATCTAGGTAAAGAGGATTCTAAATGAAGGACCAAGTCCCATTCCAGGGGGAGATAATCAAGAAAAGGCAAAAATAGGGTGGGGTCATTAGAAAATCTTTTTCTCATGAATCAATGGGCCAGAAAAGCTGAAACTTATATGAAAGCTTCCTGAGGTTGTGTTGATTGTAAATTATTCAAATCATAGCGGTAGGGCGGGGGCCCACAATAGGGAATCATGCTTTAACATTGAAATATATTGGAAAGATCTTAAAAAATCTTCTTCTCAAGAACCACTTGGCAAGAAAAGCTGAAACTTATGTGAAAAGTATGTGAAAAGTTCTTCTCAAGTACCACTTGGCAAGAAAAGCTGAAACTTATGTGAAAACATCCTGAAGTAGTGTAGATTCTTAATTGTTCAAATCATGGGTAGGAAGAGGCCACAGTAGGGAATCAAAGTTTTACATTGAAATATATAGGAAAAATCTTTAAAAAAATCTTCTCAAAATCCATTGAGCCAGAAAAGCTGAAACTTATGAGAAAACTTCCTGAAGTAGTGTAGAAATCATGCCCCCAGGGGTAGGGAGGGGCCACAATAGGGAATCAAAGTTTTACATATATAGAAAATAAATATATAGAAAAAATCTTTAAAAATCTTCTCAAGAACCGCTGGACCAGAAAAGCTAAAACTATTGTGGAAGCATCCTTATGTAGTGTTGATTGTAAATTATTCAGATCAATGTCCCTGGGGAGGATGGGGTCACAATAGGGATGACATAGGGAAACATCCCTTAGCTGGGCCCTTGCTGATTGGTCAGTTTTCTAGTTATTTGGCAGACTTTACTAGAATAAAAAGTTGTGTCTAAATTAAGTTTTCATTCATTCTTTAGAATCTGCACTTTATGCCAGACCCCTGTGTAGTGGACATTAATAATGTGTTATTTGGAATTACTTCATCTGACATCATGTTTCAACTTGGAGCAGAAGAAATATCTTTGTAAGTACATTTCAGTTTGGTGAAGTAGACTTCACCAAACATCACAATTGCAGGTTGTTTTTTATTCAGATCCCTCTCTTGAAGGGTTGTTATAATTTGTCTCAAGGCACCAAGCCATCACTTTTTATGCCTCGTAATGTGTATGGCAGTGACTTTTGTCATGTCTGTCCTTTGTCTAATTGTCTGTCCATCAAATTTTGTTTAGCCCAGAATAAAAGAAACTGTATACTAGTATATTTTATCCAAAAATCATACAGTTATACATCCTGACAAGAGCTATGAATATGGTATAATTTTCTGACCATGACATTTCCTATGACCATACTAAATGCCTGTTAGCTCTACTGGTCAGAGACCAGAAAAGCTTATGCGATATTAAGATGTCCACCATCTATCTGACTGTAATAATTTTTATGCCCCCGGATCGAAAGATCCCAGGGGTATATTGTTTTTGTCCTGTCTGTCTGTTTGTCTGTCTGTCTGTTGTCAACTTTAACCTTGCCCATAACTTTTGATTGGTTGGAACTATGACTTTCATATTTCACATGTGTATTCCTTGTGACAAGACCTTTCTTTGAGTACCATCATATTTGACCTTTTGACCTCGACCTTGGAGTTTGACCCACTTTTGCAAAATTTTATGAGACTTTAACCTTGGCCATAACTTCTGAACAGTTGGTGCTTGGGGTTTCAAACTTCACTTGTATATTCTTTGTGACAAAGCCTTCCTTTGGATACCAACAACTTTGACCTTGACCTTGGAGTTTGACCTACTTTTGAAAAACCTTAACCTTGGCCATAACTTTTGAACAGTTGGTGCTTGGGGCTTTCATATTTCACATATGTAATCCTTGTGATAAGACCTTCCTTTGGATACCAACGACTTTGACCTTTTGACCTTGACCTAGGAGTTTGGCCTACTTTTGAAAAACTTTAACCTTGGCCATAACTTTTGAATGGTTGGAGCTAGGGCTTTCATATTTCACATATGTAATCCTTGTGATAAGACCTTCCTTTGGATACCAACGACTTTGACCTTTTGACCTTGACCTAGGAGTTTGGCCTACTTTTGAAAAAACTTTAACCTTGGCCATAACTTTTGAATGGTTGATGCGCTAGGGTTTTCATACTTCACTTGTGTAATCCTTGTGACAAGACCTTCATTTGCATACCAACCACTTTGACCCTTTGACCTTGACATAGGAGTTTGACCTACTTTCGAAAAACTTTAACCATGATCATAACTTTTGAATGGTTGGTGCTAGGGCTTTCATACTTCACATATGTAATCCTTGTGACAAGACCTTCCTTTGGATACCAACCACTTTGACCTTGACCTTGACGTTTTACTTACTTTTAAAAAACTTTAACCTTCACCATAACTTTTGAACAGTTGCAGCTAGGGCTTTCAAATTTCACAGGTATATTCCTCGAGCCAAGACCTTTCTTTGAGTACCAACATTTTTTATCTTTTGGCCTGGTTTTGACTTGCATTTGAGAAACTTTAACCTTTGCCATAAGCTGCCATATGGGGGCATCAGTGTTTCACAAACACATCTTGTTTGGTTTCATGATGATGATCAAGCAATTCGCTTGCATGATAATTTTATTCATAAACGCCAGGGCGTTTATGCAAATTATCAAGAAGCCAATTGCTTGATCACATCATGAAACCAAAAAATTAGACAGTTATTCCTTAATTCAAAACACTACTCCTACAACAGTATTTGTCCTACTGCAATTAAATTAAACTGACTAGGAAAGAGACTAAACCAAGGACAGCGTAAATTTATGTAAATTAATTCTAAGTTTATCAGCAGCAGCAGTGAAAAGGTCATTAAATTGTCAAAAGTCAAAGTTTTGAATATAATTAATCAACGAATTTCAGGATGACAGATTTGTTTATCTTTTTAGGTCATCTGAGTCACTCAGGTGACCTATTGCTATTCTGTTTTTATCCATTGTCAGGTGTCTTCCATTAACATTTGAACATTTTCACTTCTCTTGAACCAGTGAAAATACAACTATGAAGAGTGTGGAGAACAATCTGTTAACAAAACTCATTACTCTTGACACATTAACTCTCATTAACAGGCAAAACCACTGGGCCAGAAGAGTTGAAACTCATTTGAAAGCTTTATTACACAGTGTAGATTCAAGTTTGTTCAGATCATGAACACCTGTGGTAGGGTTCATGATTGGTGATCACAGTGGGTGATCAAAGTTATACATGGGTATATATAGGGAAAAAATCTAAAAGGATTGTTTACACTTAGTGTACAGGCCCCTGGTAAATTGCACAAAAATAAAGTATAGAAAATAGCCTCCTGAAAATAATAATGCGATTCTTCTATGTCTAAAACGCAACTTTGCGAAATTACTGGAATTAAAAGTCGGTAAAAATAAAGAACGAAGCAGTGTTTCGTAAGAGGGGTCACTGAAATTCATGGATCTCCATTGATATTCAAAGTTATTCCGATTTTTAAAGTCGTAATACATGGTGAGCGCATTGTTGCCCAAATTTCTCGAAGGGACAGAAGGTGTAAAAGTATAGGAAATTCAACATATTCAAGGGAAAATTTTGGGCAAGCCTGTGCTCGGGGTAAACTTTTTGAACACAAATTGGTCGTTTCCTTCAGTGTACACAGGTATTTACATGTCATTGACCTCATTGTGACCTGTTTAATATTCCAATTTACCACATGATTTGTAGACTCAGGTAACTTGTGAATACAAAAAAATCAATAAATCACGTGGTTTCAGCTCCAAACAGCATTTCGTCGAAAGCGATCAAATCAAATTGTTGCATTTTCAGTCGATCAACATCAAATTTTCTTCTGCCAATTATTGTTGCTGCTGCCATATATTGCTAAAATATTCATTATTTGTATGTTTTATATTCAGTATTAGACATTTGCTTCTTTAAAATATAGATATTTGTGTTTTCAAATTCATCTTCCATTTTTTTTTCTGGTATTGTTAGATTAAGGTAAGTTTAGGGAATATAGATAGGTTAGAGAGTTTTCAGGGTTTATACTTGGCATTTTGTTTGTATCACTCAACATGCCGAAATCATTCAATTGTACATGCTGTTAAAGGAGAGCTCCTTTTGGTAGGCGCCGGGTTTGAAGGGAATAAAAAATGCACAACACAGGGAAAATCTTTCTAGTATTTTAGGCAGAAAAGTCTTGGAGAACGACTGCATTTGTGACAGATGCTACAGAGGCTACCATAGGGGGCAGTTAAAGTGTTCAAATAAAAATGAGGGCCATGTCAGTATAACAACATTTTATTTAGGCACAAAGTCACATAGGTTTTGTTCTCTTTGTGGTATACCAAGGAAAGTCTTAAAGAGAATCCCTCAAATTGCACAAACAGATATTTTCATAAGGTATAATGTAATTTTACATGACAATGCACGTGCTTGTATCTGCCATTTTGCTGACAGTAAGACCATCAAGAAAACAGATTTTCAAAAATATTTGTTTCGTCTCAAACGGGCTACAGCATCTTTATCTTCAGCTGATTTCTTAGAGCACCTGTCCCATTGTCAGCAACTGATACTAAGAAATGAAAATTCTAGAATTGACTTTGAAATCTTGATCTCGATGACGATGATTTTTTAAATCTTACGGGTATTTCTTGCAGTCAATTCAATTTTCTTTGTTTGCAAGTTGAAAAGCCGAGAACTAGAAAATACTCTGTTAGAACAGAAATTGGTATACTACTTGTAAAACTTCGAACAGGACTTTCAAGTAGTTTGTTAAAGACCCTGTTTAATGTTAAAACAAGTACTTTAATTTGTAGAATCATTAAACGAGCGAGGGAATCATTAATAAAATGCTTTGTTCCAAATTATCTTGGTTTTGAACATATTTCAAGAAAATGTGTAATCGAAAAACACACAACTATATTTGCAAGAGAGTTGCTAGCCTCTGGAAAAAATGAGACTGCGATTTTACTGATTGATGGAACATATATTTATATTCAAAAGAGTTCTAAATATACATTTCAGAGGAGGTCTTTCAGTATGTATAAAGGTCGTCCCTTGGTAAAGCCGATGATGATAGTGGCATCAGATGGATATATTGTTGAGATCCTAGGTCCATATTTGGCAGACCGGAAAAATAACGACGCATCCATTCTTAATAAACATTTAACAGATGAGGGAAAGGGAATTTTAAATAGGGCAAAATGTAACGATATTTTAGTTTTAGACAGAGGATTTAGAGATTCACTAGAAATAATCAAATCAGTTGGGTTGAAATCAGAATCTCCATATTTTTGGGGGGAAAGGGGCAAAACAGCATTCTGTGGAGGAAGCTAATTTATCATGTTTGGTGACAAAAATCAGGTGGACAGTAGAATCTGCAAATGGCCGATTGAAACGATGGCAATTTTTGGCAAACGTAGTCACCAATACTCAAATTCCTTTTATTGGTGACTATGTTCGCATAGTTGCAGCATTAATCAATGCATTCAGACCCCCGCTAGCCAAGGACTCGGCCAATGATACAAAAATAGCCAAACACATGCTTGAAAAGTCGAAATTAATTATTAATCCTTTGAAAGAACTCTTTGTAAAAGAAAGCGGAAGAAGACTTTCTCTAAAAATGACAAAAATAGATGCTGCAGAAGCAGTGCCAGATTTTCCAGAGTTGACAGAGGATTTCTTGCGCTCTCTTACTTTTGGGGTTTACCAACTGAAGAAGGCATCCTCATATTCTGCTGAACACCTGAATGAAGACAGAGGCTACGATATTTACGTTGGAAAGAATATGCCAAATATTCTTCAGACTAAAATTCAATCCTGCCATGTTTCACCAAAGGCTTACTATCTCTGATTAAAATATTACGTACTGGATATTGCAGACCCAGTTAAATGTTGGTACTGTTAATGTAAAACGGGGGCATGTTTGGTGGGTAGTTCTCACGTGGCCTCTGTGCTGTGGTTTATGGGTGTTCAGAGACATGGTCTACGTCTCTGTGGTAGCATCATTCCTCAAAATGTTCTCAACTGTAAAATTACCAGTGCTGAGTAGTTCCCAGATGCCATTATAACTGGCTATTCCATGTCTTTGATCGATTGTTGAAAGGCCCGTCTACTCTGAATATCAATGAGACACAATTAAAACCCAACTCGGACAAGGGCAATATTCTGGAATTAATACCCACTAGTGGGCATTTTTAATTACCTTTAATAAAACTTAAGTGCCATTTTCAATGTAAATTTTCGTAAGTAATTTACCACACAGATGACAAAATATGGGTTAGGTGTAAAATAAAGTTTTAAGTTAATTAGATGATGTTAGAGGGGTCCGAAAAAAGGGCCATTGCAATATGCTTAAGTGGAAACATTCTTTCTTCTCAAGAACAGCAACGGCATGATTAGTCGTATTGATTTGGAAGCATCCTCTGGTAGCGTAGCTTCAAGTTTGTTCAAATCATGACCCATGGAGGTAGGACGTGGCCACAATAGGTGATGAAGTTTCAAGTTGTGACCTCTTGTAGAACTATCTTACTATGTATTGTTTCAAAGTCTAACTTTTTTCCCCATTTAGTAACCCCCCTGGTGCTTCAGATAGAATGGCCAGACTTGCAGAACACCTGTTAACACAGCAAAGGTAAGTTTGTAGATGATTGAAATGTCATCATATGCCTGAAAATTTACATGGCTTGCAATTGTTGAAGAGTCATTTAATAAGTAATATTTTTCTTTCAGAACCCACTTAAGGTTGATGTTTGATCAGACTGTCATTCAATTTGAATATAAATATCAATTTATTTTAGTTTTTATCCTCTGTATCCTTCCCCAGAGGACATCAACGTAGACTATGAAGTGTTTGATCATTATGCCCACATGCCCACAACTCCACATGTGCTGATTTTGCCGTCAGATTTAAAGCAATTTATAAAGGTAAAATTCTATAACATGCTGTAAAAAAAAAAACAAACAAAACAAAATAATTGCATACATAATAACAAAAATTTGATTTTACTGGGAAACTCATCAAACCCAAAATGTGCTGTTATGTTGTACCGTCAACAATTGATATTTAAACCAACATTATTTTGAGAGAAATTTTCTATATAAAAGAAGAGCTTCCTTGTGTATTGTATCCTTGTTTTCAGGAGATACAAGGGTGTTGCTGCATTAATCCAGGGCGCCTGTCCCGAGGACAAGCTGGTGGGACATTCAGCAGACTACATATCCAAGCTGGCGTCATCATATCTCAGCAGTCTATACTCCCTTCCATCACAGCTCAAGTGTTAAAGATTTAAAATGAAACATTGTGTTAATTTGTACAATTTGTGTATAGCTATGCCGAGTTAGTTCAAGGGGGCTTTTCAAGTTTGTCCATTAATCATGTATCATTTTTAAGTGTTAAGCTCACCCTAGCTGAAAGCTCAAGTGAGCTTTTCCGGTCACATTTTGTTTGGTATCTGTCTGTCCATCAGTCTCTTTTTCTGTTCCTCTGTAGAGTTTTCACATGTTCAACTTCATCTCCAGAACATATTTCAACCAAACATGCCTTTGGTGAAGGGAATTCAAGAGTATTCAAATGAAGGAGCATGTTCTCTTGGAAGGAGAGATTATCAAGAAAAGGCAAAAATATGTGAGGGTCTCAAAAAACCTCTTTAAGGTCCACTAAACCAGAAAAGATGAAGCTTAAATGAAAGGTTCCTTACGGTGTGTATATTTAAAAGAAGATGGGCAAACAAGGCAAGCAAAATGCCTACTGTACAATAAATAAAGTGAAAAAATTAAATCTCAATTATGCAAAATTTTCTTTGATATTTCGTTTAACATCAACGTATACGTCATCTTAAACACGCACAAGTTGCAACAATCTCATAAAGATTGATATAATTCATCTGTGAAATAGCATACATTCACCAAAGAGGGGGCAAAAATTACCAGTTTTTCATAAAACACAATTTTTCCATATGAGTGGGTTTTCACTCTATTTTTAAGTCACCTGAGTCACTCAGGAAACCTATTGCTATCTGTTTTTGTCTGTCATAAATTTTGAACATTTTCAGCTTTTCTTCAATCACTGAACCAATTTCAATACATTTTGGCAAATAGTATCTATGGGTAAGGGTTACAGAAATAATGAATGTCATGGTCCCTGGGGATTGGGCTAAAACCATCAAAATGAGTGCTATCTTTAAATTTCTTCTTTTCTCCTGGACATCAAGCAGTCAAAATGTTGACATGACTGTAAAAAGCATTAAGCTCAGGGGTTATGGAGTTAGGATGAGGCTGTAATGATCATATGGTGAAGATACATTAATTCTTTTTAATTTGTCCTAATTTACAATAATTACAGTAAATTATAGTGACATGAGGGGATTATAGTTTGCTTATGTATGCACTAGTGATTTGTGTTTTGCATTATAAACTATGACGGTTGTCAGTTTTTGATCCCAATTAAGAGCCATTTTAGATTGTTTTAGTAATAAATCATCAACTGATCTAGAGAATTTATTTTGTTTTGCCTTTTTTTGTATAAACTACAGCATAGGAGATGCACAAGAAACATTAGGAATAGAAAATCAGTGAAATCGTTGTTCAAAACCGTTGACATGATTTTCTTCCTTGCACACTCATCTGTGGCTGTATACTTTATTAAGAGCAGGGTCATTTCCATGTAATTACAAGTTCTATCATGACCAAACTTGCATGCAGGATGCATTTGGGAATATACACTACCAGACATGCTTCAAATGGTGGATCTGACCTACATTTTCCAGATGTGTGATCATATGTCAGAGTTTTTGGAGCAGGTAACCCAGAACAGGAGCAGGTTCCCAAGTAACTATTAGGCATATGTTGTTCAAAGCATTTAGGGATGTGCTCTTGCAGGATTGGATCTGGCCTACATTTTTCAGCCACCTGAGGTCACATTGGTCACCTATTACCATCTTTTTTTTTTGTTTGTTGTCCTTTCTTAATCTTTTCACTTTTTCAACTTATTCTCAAGAACCACTGGACCAATTTTAATCAAACTTGCCACAAAGTACATGTATCCTTGGGTGAAGGGGATTCAAGTATATTCAAATGAAGGGCAGTGCCCCCGTCTAAGAGGAAATAATTAAGATAAGGCAAAAATAAGGTGGTATTTAAATATCCTGGGCCAGAAGAGTTGAACGTTACAGGAAAGCTTCCTGACATAGTGTAGGTTCAAGATTTTCAAATCATGACTTGGGGGTAGGGTGGGGCCACAAAAGGGGATCAAAGTTTACATGGAAATATATAGGAAGATATCTTTTAAAATCTTCTCTAGAACAGGACCATCATGATAGCTCATTCGGTAGAGTGCTCGCTCCATTACCAGATGGTCGTGGATTCAAGCCCCAGCCACGACTGACTCAAGTGGATAAAAAATAGGTAGCAACTCTACCTTTGTCAAGCACTTGGCACTTTGAAGTGAAATTTGCGGGTCTTTCAGATGAGACCTTAAAAACTTGGGCCCTGTGTCATAGCAGACATTGGCACACAAAAAAAGATCTTGCACTGCTCAGTGGCCATGAGTGCCTAGTACAAGTCTAAATTTGAAGCCTTTCACTGGTATATGGGATCGTTTCTACATGAGTGAAATTTTTTTTAGCTCACCCGAGACGAAGGCTCAAGTGAGCTTTTCTGATAAAAGCGTGTCCGTCATCTGTAGTTCGTAAACTTTTCACATTTTCGACTTCTTCTCAAGAACCACTGGGCCAATTTCAACCAAACTTGTCACAAAGCATCCTTGGATGAAGAGGATTTAAGTTTGTTCAGAGGAAGTGCCACACCCTCTTTCAAGGGGAGATAATTAAGAATTCGTGAAAATTTGGGGGCATCTTTTAACAAGAGGCCCTTGAATCGCTCTTCTGATAAACTGTACAACCTTTCACTTCTATTTGAAGCCTCTAAGTATCCTGTATATTTAGATAAACCCTTGAAATTCCAAAGGTAGGTCAACATGACCTACATTTTAGATGAAACACTGAGAACTCAAGATGATTCTGGGCCAGTTAGTAGCTAAGAGTTGGTCATGGTGACCTACTTATCACTTGTCATTCTCTGAGGACCCAAAGATGCATCAACTAAGTTTGATGATTCTAAGCCAATTAATACCTAAAATATTTTTAAAATTATAACCATTAAATTTCAAAAAGTAGGTCACAGTGACCTACTTTTCAGATGACATACTTTGAGGACCCAAGATGCATCAACTGATAAAGTTTGATGATTCTAAGCCAATAAGTACCTGATATATTTAAATAAAGCCATAAAATTTTAAAAGTTGGTCACAGTGACCTCCTTTTCAGTCGACTAAATCTGTGGACCCAAGATGCATCAACCAGTTAGTACCCGAAATATTTAATTAGAGCCATAAATTTTCAAAAGTAGGTCACAGTGACCTACTTTTCAGTCGACCTACTCCGAAGACCCAAGATGCATCAACTAACAAAGTTTGATGATTCTCAGCCAATTAGTACCCAAAATATTTAATTATAGTCATATAAATTAAAAAGTAGGTCACGGTGACCTACTTTTCAGTCGACCTACTGCGAGGACCAAAGATATATCAACTGACAAATTTTGATGATCCTAATCCAAATAGTACCCGAAAATATTAAATACAGCCATAAAATTTCAAAAGTAGGTCAAGATGACCTACTTTTAAGTTCTCGTACTCCAAGGTCCCAAGATGCATTAACTGACAAAGTTTGATGATTCTAAGCCAATTAGTTACTGAAAAATATTTAATTAAAGCCATAAATTTTCAAAAGTAGGTCATGGTGACCTACTTTTCAGTCGACTTACTTCGAAGACCCAAGATGCATCAACTGAAAAGTTTGATGATTCTAAGCCAATTAGTAACTAAAATATTTAATTATAGTCATATAAATTGAAAAGTAGGTCACGGTGACCTACTTTTCAGTCAACTTACTGCGAGGACCCAAGATGCATCAACTGACAAATTTTATGATTCTTAGCCGAATAGTACCCGAAAATATTAAATACAGCCATAAAATTTCAAAAGTAGGTCAGGGTGACCTACGTTTCAGTTGTCTACTCCAAGATGCATCAACTGACAAAGTTTGATGATTCTAAGCCAATTAGTTCCTGAAATATTTAATTAAAGCCATAAATTTTCAATAGTAGGTCATGGTGACCTACTTTTCAGTCGACTTACTTTGAAGACCCAAGATGCATCAACTGACAAAGTTTGATGATTCTAAGCCAATTAGTACCCGAAATATTTAATTAGAGCCATAAATTTTCAAAAGTAGGTCACAGTGACCTACTTTTCAGCCGACCTACTCCAAAGACCCAAGATGCATCAACTGACAAAGTTTGATGATTCTAAGCCAATTAGTACCTGAAATATTTAATTATAGTCATATAAATTGAAAAGTAGGTCAGGATGACTACTTTTCAGTTGCCGTTTTTTGAGGCAAGATGCATCAACTAACAAAGTTTTATGATCATAGGCCTTAAAATGTCCAAATTATGCCTCTATAACGCTTTGAAATCAAATGTGTGCAAAGTTCAAAAAATAGGTCACTGTGACCTGTTTTTTAATACATATGTTTTATGGCCCCAAGATGCATCATCTTGCAAGATTTCATGATTCTAAACATCTCGGTATTCGAATTAATGACCTTAATTGTTTTGAAAAAGATTAGCCATAAAATTCAAAAAGTAGGTCAAGGTGACCTACTTTTAAGTCGACGTACTCTGATGACCCAAGATACATCAACTGACAAAGTTTGATGATCATAGGCCTTAAATAGTTCAAAAATATGCCTCTAAATCATTTTGAAAAAGAATGGCCGCAAAATTTAAAAAGTAGGTCACCGTGACCTACTTTTGAGTCAACTTGATATGAGGTCCTTAGATGCATCAACTGACAAGATTTGATGATCCTAGTCCTTATAGTAAGCATAATGTCAACATTTTAATAAAATGTAATTTTTGGTCAACTTTGAAGTGACCTTCAGACCACACCCTTTGCCCCAGGGTGATGCCTTGAACAATTTTTTATCTACAAAATATCCTCATCCTTTTGTGTACGTTTGGTGATAATCTGCCCAGTGGTTCTTGAGAATTTTTTTTTAGCAACAAGTACTTTTGTTTCTATTTTCCTAATTATCTCCCCTTGTTTAAGGGTCACAACCCTAGTTTTAGTATAAACGGGAGCCCTTGGGCCAAGGATACCCTGTGACAAATTTGACAATAATTGGCCGAGGGGTTCTTGAGTTATGACCCATATTCTAAAAAGTTTATGCACACCGCACAGATGGCCAAAGTATTAGCTCTTTGAGCCTTTGGCTCAGAGGAGCTAATAAAGACATTGTACGAAGTCAAAAGTACAAATAATGCATAAAAGAACTCTGAATGATAGAATCATGTATTGTAAAACTGAAAAAAAAAACGGGGGTTTAACAAAGTTGTCCCCTTTTACCAACACTATACCTGATAGTTGTTGACTGGGTATAGGCCCTGAAATTCAAAATTTTCGAAGAGGCACTCTTCCTTATCAAAACTATGTACTTAATTCATCGGCTTAATACCCTGGAGCAGAGAAAATTTTCAAAGAATTAATGCATTTTCACTAAAAATCATTAGAGCCCCGCCCTAGAACCCCTGACCCTGGGGCCATGAATTTAACAATTTTGGTAGAGGGCTCAGTGCTTATTACATTCATGCCAATAGTTTGACTTCTTAATGTTCAGGAGTAAACAAGAAGATTTTTAAAGATTGCATTAATTTTGATGGTTTTAGCCCCACCCCTCAGGCCACGGGGGGGGGGGGGGGGGGGGCAGTGGCCATGAATTTCACAAAATTGGTTGAAATTGGTTCAGTGGTTCCAGAGAACAAGCTGAAAATGTTTAAAAATTTACTATGGACAAGAACAGCAATAGGTCACCCGAGTGACTCCGGTGACCTAAAAAAACACCCCCCCCCCCAAAAAAAAAAACAAACAAACAAACAAACAAACAAACAACAGAAAAAAAAAAAAAAAAAAAGAAAAATCGGGATTTGAAATCAATCAATTATAAATCTAAGACCTCTAAACATGTGTTTGGTCCCATTAAAAAAATCAAAATAATTACATTGATTTAAGTAATCAATTTGGTGAACAAGAAAACTGGGCAATCTCTCTAGATCTCAAAGATGCTTATTTATATGTACCAATTCAACCATACCATCGCAAGTACCTTTGGTTTAAGCTTACCAATTCAAGCTCTATATTTTGGTCCAACTTTTAAAAGATTCCTATGTAAAACTTTGATAAGCCCACTGTGGCACCATTCTACCCCCGGGGTCATGATTTGAACAAACTTGAAACTACACTACCTGAGGATACTTCTATATAAAGATGACTAATAATGGCTTAGCTGTGCTTGAAATCAGGATATTTAAAGATATTTCCTATATATTCCTATGGTAAACTTTGACCCCGTTGTGGCCCTGCCCCACCCCAGGGGTC